CAAAATTTCTTCAGCTTGACCATGTAGGGGGTAGCCATATGGCTAGGCCAAACACCAAATCATGGGCTGTCATGCATGTGTCAAGTCACGGGTAGCCAAAGGCTTGGCAATATAATGGGTAGCCATATGGCTAGGTAGCCAAAGCAGGCTTGACCAAATCATGGGCTGTAATGCATGTGTCAAGTGGTAGCCAAAGGCTTGGCCGTGTCAAGTCATGGTAGCCAGGGGCTTGGCCAAACATGCATGGTTCTGACATGAGCACTTGACAAAGCAAACGTACATGATGGCACTCACTTCTTGACACAGCTGCTTTGTTTTTCTCGCCTTCAAATGGTACAAGTCCTTGGCATGGCAGTTGGCATGGCCCACACTCAATTCTGTAAATGGTGGGTTCCAAAACAAGCTCTGCATGACTGGTGGTAAGTGTACTTTGGAAACTGGCTGCTCTAAACATGGAGTGGGTGGGCCATGGCCTTGGGGCCCAACTACTGGTATTTGTAGTTGTGGTTATACCACTTGGGGCCGGCAAGAGCGCTCTTGGACCAGGACATTCCACATATGGTGCAGCTGGGCCATGTCTCATTCAGGTAATGGCGGTAGAAGATCCATGAGCCGCAATTCTTCTGGCTGCATGGCAGCACCAGGCGCCACGTGATGTGGTCTGGAAGGTCAATCCAAGGCTTGGGTTTCTCCTCCTTGGGCGAGCTGGGCGTCGGCTTCGTGGCCTTCATGGTTGCCTTCATCGCCTTCATGGCCTTCATCGGCATGGCCTTCATCGCTTTCGTGGCCTTCATCGCCTTCATGATGGCCTTCATCGGCATGGCCTTCATCACCTTCATGGCCTTCACTGCCTTCAGGGCCTTCATGGTCTTCATGGGCTGCTGGCCCGCTTTGGTTGGTCCCTTGGCCATGGCTTGGAAGCTGACTGAAAGAGGAGCTAGCTGGCACTGGATCCCAAGTGGCTACATGGAAGCTTGGCGGCTTGATTGCTATGCTATTAGCCTTGTGGCTTGACTTCATGCCATGTGGCTAGCCTGCAGGCTTGACTTCATGGTGTGTGGAAATAATGTTGCTATGTTGCCTGCTGCCCAAAAGCACCTTTTGGGAATCTGATTTTGCAAAGCTGGTGGGCTAGCCAAATGGCTACATCTTGGAGCCATTTTTTCAAGCCTATCTGGCTGAGAAGGTTTACATCATGTAGTTGAACAGCTAATGTGGAATGGTAGCCATTATTGGCTTGCAAACCTGCTTGAATAAGCTCAAATAGCCAATGTTGGCTTGCAATCGCAGCCCAAGGGCTAGTGCAAGCATGCGACAAGCCATTTGCAGGCTACACCTTGCTTGCTTGCGAAACATTCAAACTTCTATGTGCCAAAGCATAAACAGAGCAGCACTGCACGGCCACCATTATGCCTGATACAAAAACACAAAATAAAAACACAGAAAGTAAACCCTTTTCTCATTAGAGCCAGCACTTACATAGCTAGTTAGCAGCACTTACATAACAAGTTAGCTGGAGCTAGCTAACCTCTAGCTAAGTGGTTAACATAGGTCTCTGCATGTAGCTAACCACTTAGCTAAGCTTGTAAAGTATGTAAAAGATGTGTGTGTCTGTGCACATAGCTGTGTGTGTGTCTCTGTGTGTGTGTGTCCTGTGTGTGTCTGTGTGTCCCCCCCACTGTGTGTGTGCTGTGTGTGTGTGTGTCTGTGTGTGTGTGTGTCTGTGTGTGTGTGTGTGTCTGTGTGTGTCTGTGTGTGTGTCTGTGTGTGTGTCTGTGTGTGTGTCTGTGTGTGTCTGTGTGTGTCTGTGTGTGTGTGTCTGTGTGTGTCTGTGTGTGTCTGTGTGTGGTGTCTCTGTGTGTGTCTCTGTGTGTGTCTCTGTGTGTGTCTGTCTGTGTGTGTCTCTGTGTGTGTCTGTGTCTGTGTGTGTCTCTGTGTGTGTCTGTGTCTGTGTGTGTCTGTGTGTGTGTGTCTGTGTGTGTCTGTGTGTGTCTGTGTGTCTGTGTGTGTCTCTGTGTGTGTCTCTGTGTGTGTCTCTGTGTGTGTCTCTGTGTGTGTCTCTGTGTGTGTCTCTGTGTGTGTCTCTGTGTGTGTGTCTCTGTGTGTGTCTCTGTGTGTGTCTCTGTGTGTGTCTCTGTGTGTGTCTCTGTGTGTGTCTCTGTGTGTGTCTCTGTGTGTGTCTCTGTGTGTGTCTCTGTGTGTGTCTCTGTGTGTGTCTCTGTGTGTGTCTCTGTGTGTGTCTCTGTGTGTGTCTCTGTGTGTGTCTCTGTGTGTGTCTCTGTGTGTGTCTCTGTGTGTGTCTCTGTGTGTGTCTCTGTGTGTGTCTCTGTGTGTGTCTCTGTGTGTGTGTGTGTGTCTCTGTGTGTGTCTCTGTGTGTGTGTCTCTGTGTGTGTCTCTGTGTGTGTCTCTGTGTGTGTCTCTGTGTGTGTCTCTGTGTGTGTCTCTGTGTGTGTCTCTGTGTGTGTCTCTGTGTGTGTCTCTGTGTGTCTCTGTGTGTGTCTCTGTGTGTGTCTCTGTGTGTGTCTCTGTGTGTGTCTCTGTGTGTGTCTCTGTGTGTGTCTCTGTGTGTGTCTCTGTGTGTGTGTCTCTGTGTGTGTGTCTCTGTGTGTGTGTCTCTGTGTGTGTGTCTCTGTGTGTGTGTCTCTGTGTGTGTGTCTCTGTCTGTGTCTCTGTGTGTGTCTCTGTGTGTGTCTCTGTCTGTGTCTCCGTGACTGTCTCTGTGTCTCTGTGTCTCTGTGTCTCTGTGTCTCTGTGTCTGTGTGTCTCTGTGTCTCTGTGTCTCTGTGTCTGTGTCTGGTTGCGGTCTGTGTGTCTCTGTGTCTGTGTCTGTTTGCGGTCTGTGCAGTGCGTGCGGTGTGTGTGTTGTTTGTGTGCAGTGCGCGCGGCCTGTGCGGGATGTGCAGCGTGTGTGTGTTGTTTGTGTGCAGTGTGTGTGTGTGTTGCGTGTGTGTGTGTGTGTGCAGCGTAATTAGATAAACACGAAGGTGAAAGAGGTGACTACTCAGGAAAAGAAAGCTTGAAAATAGTATTTTCAAGCTACCATTAATGTCATTTTTCTAAGCAATGCTCTATTCTCAGCTGTGGATGACATGAAAGCCTGGAGTTTTTGATGGGAAATATATGATTTCCTTCATTCGCATCTGTTCACCTACTTTCTTCAACATCCAAAGATAGAATTACAATGATATGAGAATGGGTGAACCTATAGAAATAATAATTGATATTGGCTTTGTGGTTCGGCCACCTTCATTCTTTCATTGCCTTTCACGTTCCATCTCTTTACCTCTAACTTGGATGCCCGACATGAAAGCCGCTAAGATGATAATTTTGTGAGATATCCTGAGTGCAATTGTACCAGCAGGAATAGATCCAGGAGTGCAATTGTACCAGCAGGAAGGGATCCCGGATGACATAGGACACAGACAGGCGGTCTGTGCGGTGTGTGTGTGTGTGTGCGCGTGCGCGTGTGCAAGCGCAAGTGCAAGCGCAAGCGCAAGCGGAAGTGCAAGTGCGTAGGCGTGGGCGTGGGCGTGCGCGTGCGCGTGCGCGTGCGCGTGCACGTGCGTGCGCGTGTGTGTGTGTGTGTGGGTGTGTCCGTGTGTCCGTGTGTCCGTGTGTCCGTGTGTCCGGTGTGTCCCGTGTGTCCCGTGTGTCCCGTGTGTCCCGTGTGTCCCGTGTGTCCCGTGTGTCCCGTGTGTCTGGTGTGTCCGGTGTGTCCGGTGTGTCCCATGTGTCCCGTGTGTCCGATGTGGTGTCCGATGTGTTCGATGTGTCCGATGTGTCCGTGTGTGTGTGTGTGTGTCCGTGTGTGTCTGTGTGTGTGTGTGCGTGTGTGTGTGTGTGTGCGTGTGTGTGTGTTGTGTTGTGTTTTGCTTTGCTTTGCTTTGCTTTGCTTTGCTTTGCTTTGCTTGGCTTGGCTTGGCTTGGCTTGGCTTGGCTTGGCTTGGCTTGGCGTGGCGTGGCTTGGCTTGGCTTGGCTTGGCTTGGTTTGGTTTGGTTTGGTTTGGTTTGGTTTGGTGTGGTGGTGTGTGATGGTGGGGTGTGTGTGTGTGTGTGTCTGTGTTTGTGTTTGTGTTTGTGTTTGTGTTTGTTTTCTGTGTCTCTGTGTCGCTGTGTCTCTCTCCGTGTCTCTCTCCGTGTCTCTCTCTGTGTCTCTCTCTGTGTCTCTCCCAGACCTTGAGCTTTGAGTCTGGCTGGTTGTCTTGGAAGGTTCTTCCATCTTCTTTCCCCCTCGCAGCTCTCCATTAGGAAGACGCTGGCCCTTTCCCGCCAGATTATTGTAGATTCTGGCGGCGCTTGGCTCTGGATACCGCTCCCATAGCAAAACTTCGGACACAATCCGTACCTCATACCAAGTCGCATGAACCAACTCCGGACAATGTAGCTGTTTGATCGTGCCCAATCCTGAAAATTGAAAGCAAGCGCGCAAACCTAGCAAAGAAGGGGGCCGCCGCCGTGCAAACTCATACACACATATATAAACATAAAAAATGTAAGCAATCAAGCAAACATGCAAACACGCAAAAAAACAAGCACGAAGCACAAACACAAACACACACACACACAACAAAAAATAGAAAAACGCAAGCAAGCAAGCAAGCAATCAAACAAACACTAAACACAACCACGCGCACACACACACAAGCACAAACACGCAAACACCCACACAAATAAACAAGCGAGCCAGCAATCAAGCAAACATGCAAACACACAAACAAACAATCACAAAGCACAAACACAAACACACACAACAACCAAAAAAAAACAAAAAACAAAAAAAAAAAAAAAACAAGCAAGCAAGAAAACAAACAAACACTAAACACACGCAGAACACGCACATAAATGAATAAGCAATCAAGCAAACAAGCAAACCGGAAACACAAACACAAACACACACACACACACAGACACAGACACAGACACAGACACAAACGCAGACACACGCACAACAGATACAACAATCACCCGGCCGACCTGGCTCTTCTCTGCGACAAGTGAGGCTTGGACGTGCACAGCTCAATGCTGGTCGGCTGCAGGATTCGGCAATGGGCCATGGATCGACCAGACGCTTGTTTGGACGATCCTTGTCAGGAACGACCTCTAGTGGTGCCCTTGTTTCCTTTCTTCAGGAGGCGGCGGCCCTTTGACATTAAGTGTAGCAATCAAGTGCGTGGTTTTTCCAATGGACACCTGAGGCCTCAGGCATAGGAAACTGGCAAGCTATCTTTGGCTGTCAGCACAGTGCCCCTATTCAAGTCGAAAGGACTTGTCGCAAAACTTCAGGAAAGCTCATGATGCAGTGAGCTTGGTGAGCAAACAATTCCAACTCATTGCTTGTGGGAGGGTGTCAAAGCTGAAAGGACGGGGACTCGTTCTTGCTCATGTGAATAAAGAAACCCAAGTGCAAGCAGCCTGCAGCCAATTCAAGCCTATGTTGCAATCTCTAGCATCTTGGTTGCCCAAAGTAGATCAGCCTGCTCGTGGTCTAAAGGGTTTAAAGTTGTATCCCTTTGTTCTGATTCTAAGTGCAAATGTATTTTAGAACAACTGGTCGACGTTGAGACCCTGGACTTCAGTTTTGTCTATCTGTTCCTGCTTGCGCCCTAGAAAGCCATTTGATTGGCAGTACAAAAGACAGGACCACTAAAGTGATCGAGACTCTTGAAGAATTTGCATTTGGGGCCAAGGATTAGTGAATATAGTGGCCACAGCCTCAGGGGCACCTCAGAGCAAGCGTGGAAAATTCAGTCTGTCAGCTTTGCAGGGCGTTCTTTCAGCCATCGCATGTTAGCCACGCATTGCTTCAGGGGCTTCCATTGGTCAACTGCAATCCGGAACTCGCGATAAAACCGTAGCTGCTAGCTGATGTTTCAAGGCGGATAAGAAATAGATGATCTTAGGGAACGTTGGGACAAGGGGTTGTCTCAACCCAAAAATGTGTGGTTGTCACTTGTGCCGTTTTTGCGAACAGGATGCGGTTGCCAGCTTGACGGCAGCTCTACGCCTGGCAGAGGCAGACAAGATGAAGGCACAGAGTCGCTCTCGAGGGGTGGCTTCAGCACATGTGCCATCGTCAAACAACCCGCAAGCAAGCCAAGGAGTGGTAGGGATGATCAACCTGTTAAGGGGGTTTATTGAGGGAACCATGACAGCGATCTACACAAGGACTTATGGCACATACTTATATGTCGTAAGTTAGAGATAGCTTGGACCCTTTAGTAAGCTTGATAAACGACTATTGAAAGGTTTTTGTGTCAAAGGAGCCATCACCCTCATTGTTAGGGTGCACATGGCAAGTTGCCGAAAGTCTTGCTACCGTTAAAGGGGGTTCATGACAGCTTGTACGGACATTGAATTGAGGGAGCGGGGCGACCTCTGGAATTTCATTCATAATTCCAGTGCTTTTCTTGTGAAGCAACCTTTGAAGTTAACGTGTCGTCATAGGAATTGCACACTCCAGGATAGTATCCATTTGGGACCATACCCTTTTGCCCGTTTGGATTTCATCAACCATAGACAGGCCAAGTGGTGCAGTTTGTCCCAAAAGGGGGGCTGGCATGCATCAATTCCAGATGAGCAACAGCAGGCCTTTCGGTGTGACTTGCCCGAGGTGAAACTAGAGTTGTACAAATACCCTTGGAGTATGTTCAAGTGATGTGCCGGTCGCATCAACGAGACGCTTACTTCTGCAAACCTGTTGAGCTGCTCACAATTCTTGGCCAATGGATAGGGATCATCTTGCCAGACCTGCACCGTAGCCGTGGGTAGATCTTCACCCAACGTGCAAACTTTTAAACTGTGCGAGAGGTTCGGATCTAAGTGAGCCGTGAACTGCTCCGGTTGCGCAAGCTTATCCTTTTAGTAGACATAGCGACACCTTGGGGGTGAAATATACCCGCCCACAATGAAGACCCTTAACCCACCTGTCTTTCGCGGCGAAACACACTTGTGCGCCACATGTGCACGGACGCAGCGCGGAAACCTACAGGGGATATTGGTGTTTCCTGAGTAGCAAGCTGCACAAGCCTGAGAGAGGCATTGCTCCGAACCTAAAGGCTTGAGGAGATGACCAAACCCACAAGGCTAGAAACTTGGTGTATGTGTGTGTGTGGTCTTTTTGCATTTCTTTGCCTGCCAATTGTCTATGCGTGCTGATGAGTCCTGTTGATTTCCTTTTCCAGGTTTCCACCAATTCGGGTTGACTGGGAGCCCTCAGAGCCTCAGGACTGGCAGCAAGAGCTGTCGCAGGAGCTGGATGAGGCACTCAACCTACTGCAAAGGCACTGGGCAGAGCATCACGTTCCCTGGCCGACTGAGCACGCCTTTTTGGGGTTACCTGTTTTGAGGGGGGGAGGGTGTTTGCAGGAGAAGCCGCCCATTGGGGGGGTGCCCCCAGTTGGAAACGAGCAGAGATCAAGAGATGGGGAAGCACCGTCAAAACCGATCCAGCGCCTTTCCAGAAGGTGTGGATCTCCATGTGGCCATCGCTTACGAAGGATTTTGAAAGTGTCCCATCGCCTGGCGCAAAACCGGGCTAGGCGCAAAAGTCTGGTAAAGTGTGGAAAAGTATTAATTGCGTCCCGTGGTGTCAATTGCTTGCAATTCTTGGGCATCCGCCGTACCTCAATTGTGTCTTGATTGTGCCAGTTCCGTGTTGGCACCGGCTCGTTTCTCTCAAGAACGACCAGGGACCAGGGATCCCGTTGTGAAAATGACACCTCGGCATAATATGGTACCGACCTTCTGCTTTTCAGGAGAGTCGTTTCACTGGCCAAGTTGTTTGCTCTCCCATTGGCTGGCTGAGCACCATGTCAAGTGACAAGTGGCGCTTGGGATCTATAAATGGGGCCGTCAGTTGCTCGAAGCCAGTGAGCAAATGAGGTTCCCAAAACGTTGAATTGTTACTTTTGGCATGTGCTTCCGCTTCCCTTGACGCAGTTGCGACTTGACCCAGCCATCCTGTCGAACTTCGGGGTTTCGGTTGCTCGCTTGGTGTGCTTCTGGAAGGGCTCTTTGGTTGTCTCAAGGCATGCTTGGCAAGAAACACATCGGACATGTCGTTGGTATGCAAAGCGGTCTAAGCGGCTACAATATGACCCACACACACACATTGCAGCCGACAAAGCCGGTGAAGGGAAGTTTCTCAAATATAAGAATCGCAGTGATCGTTATTTTCCCTTTTTCCGTGTGCTGTTCTTTTCTCTCGTTCTTTGTCTCTCTCTCGCTCTCTCTATTTATCTTTCTCTCTTTCCCTATCTCTCTATTTATCTTTCTCTCTTTCCCTATGTATCTCTTTCTCTCTCTTTCTCTCTCTTTCTTTCCCTGTTTCTTTCTTTCTTCTTTCTTTCTTTCTTTCTGTCTTTCTTTCGTTCCATCTTTCTCTTTTTCTCTCTTTCTCTCTTTCTCTTTTTCTCTCCTTCTCTCCTTCTCTCTTTCTCTCCCTCTCTCCTTCTCTCCTTCTCTCTTCTCTCCTTCTCTCTCTCTCGCTCTATCTCTTTGTCTCTATCCCTCTCTCTCTCTCTCTGTCTTTTGCTTCACTATGTTTATCTTTATGTTTCCTTTTTATCTCTCTCTCTTGCTGTCTTTCTCTTTCTCTGATCATTGTTTCCTTCTGCAGTTTTTTTTCCGGTATGTTCTTTCTCATTCTCGCTGTTCCATCTTTTCATCTATCCATCCATCATAGTCCATCCCTCCATCTATCTATCTAATCGATGTATCTAATATGGTTGTCTGTTTGTCTGTCTATCTGTTTACCTGTCTATCTGTCTATCTGTCTATCTATCTATCTATCTATATATGACGTCCCTTATTTCTTCTGTCTTTTTTTGTTCTTAAGTATTTATTTCTTGCGTGGTGTCCTTCTTTATGTATTCATTTATTTTGTTTGTCTGTTTTTTCTTCCTGCCTTCCTGCCTTCCTGCCTTCCTGCCTTCCTTCCTTCCTTGCTTGCTTGCTTGCTTGCTTCCTTGCTTCCTTGCTTCCTTCCTTGCTTCCTTCCTTGCTTCCTTCCTTGCTTCCTTGCTTCCTTGCTTCCTTCCTTGCTTCCTTCCTTCCTTCCTTCCTTCCTTCCTTCCTTCCTTCCTTCCTTCCTTCCTTGCTTTTGTTTCTATCTTTCTTTCTCTGTTTCTCTCTTTCTATCTATGTACGAACCTATTTCCTCCATCAGTCTATATATCAATAAACCAATGTATCTAACGGATCTAACCCATCTAATATACCTAGTCTATCTAGTATACCTTATCTACCACTCTATCTATAGTTCATTTTAGCTGTCTTTTTTTTCTGTCTATCAATCTATCTAATCTAACCATCTATCTATAATCCAATCCAATGTAATCCTATCTAGCTAGCTATATATCTATCCATCCATCTATCTATCTTATTTATCTAACTTATATTATCTGTCGTATCTATCTTGTCTATCTTGTCTATCTTGTCTATCTTGTCTATCTTGTCTACCTAATCTATCTAATCTATCTAATCTAATCTATCTATCTATCCATCTGTCTATCTTGTCTGTCTTGTCTGTCTGTCTATCTGTCTATCTATTCTATCTATCTATGTAATCTCTGCATCTGTCTAATCTAATCTAATATAATCTGATCTAATCTAGTCTAATCTAATATATCTAATCTATATATCGTATCTGTCTATCTATATTTCAATGTATCTATCTATCTATCTATCTATCTATCTATCCAATCAATCTATCTATCTATATCTAGCTATATCTATCTATCTATCTAATCTATCTATCTATCTATTTATCTATCTATCTATCTATCTATCTATCTATCTATCTATCTATCTATCTATCTATCTATCTATATATCTATTCTATCTATCTATTCTAATCTAATCTAATCTAATCTAATCCAATCCAATCTAATCTAATCTAATCTAATCTATCTATCTAATCTATCTATCTATCTATCTATCTGTCTATCTGTCTGTCTATCTATCTATCTATCTATCTATCTATCTATCGATCTATCTATC